GGGCATATGCCCTCCCAGTTTTGTGTATGGGGAAGGGCAGGCTGCCCAGTGTGGGTTCAGGGCCAGGGGCTGCTATGGTCTGTTCCTGGTGGGGGCTTAGCCAGGGCTGCACTCAGGGTGGGCAGGGGCTGGACGGGCAGCAGTGGTGCTGGGAGGGAGGTGATGGGCAGGTTATAGCCACCCCATTATACCACATGGCCCCCTTCCAGCACTGCTGCTGCCTACCCCACCCACCCTGCCCCAGCCCCCATCAGGAACCCCCAGCCCCAGCCTCCATCAGGAACAGACTCTGGCCCTGAGCCCAAAGTGGGCAGTCCACCCTCGCCCTGTGTAATCAGGGGGCACATGTCCCTCCCTGCCTCTCCCGGGAGGTGTGCAGCCATGGGGAGCCTCCCCACCTCCCACCCCCCTGGGGCAAGCCATCTATAGCTCTGTTCTATGCCCTGCCCTGCCCTGGCTGAGCAGCACCTGCCCCAGCCCCATTCTCTACCTCTCTATGGGGGCCTCAATCTGCATGCCACCCCATGCCCCTTCCCTCCCCCACATTTACCAGCCAGACACTGCTCTCCAAACTGCTGGGCTGTATTCCTGGCTGCGTGCATGCTGTAGCTGCGTGCATGCATTTATCGGTGACATTATCAGCTACATCAGATAAAAAGAAGTCAATTGCCAATAATGTCAATTTTCCTTTTATTGGTACCAATCCAATATGGACCAATATATCAGTACACCTCTAACCATCTGTCTTCCATACAACTAGGATTTACCATATGTCTGTAGCTTTTGGTAACTTCTAATTACCAGCATAACTCAAAAGATGTACATGAATCTAAAGATATTTTTTCAGAGTTATATGAGAGAGATGTTCCATCTGTATAAGAAAAGTAATTAAACAACAATTGCTATATACATGTCAACTCTCAGTAAGCCTTTACCTGATTTTTACCTGTCTTCAAATTGTGAATGGTAACTTCATAACAAAACAATTCCTTTGGGAAAGGAGAAATTGGTTTTTCCCATGTGACCAAGGTGTCATTTTGTTCTAAAGATATGGTGACATTTCGAGGAGGATTTATTTTCTCTAAAAAATGAAGTAGGGACCAGTATGTTACTCATAAAACAATTATGCATTTAAAATAATAACACTTCGAGTTGGGCATAACTTAATCATTCTTGGTGGCAGGGTTGGATGCAAAGATCGCCTTGCTTCTTTTGTGCTGGTTCTCTCTCTGTTTTGAGAGCTCTCAGTTTTTCAACATCAATATCTTTTTGGTAACATTGTCCCTGCAATATAATGCTTGACATTTATTCCAGGTACTTAACATGCAATGGCAGATTGGTTAAAATGTATCATGACAGCTCTAAAGGCATGAGTTCAAGCTCTGTTCTGGAGTCATGCCAACGGCTTTCCCCCACCTGAAGACTAGTATCTGGTCATTTGGGCTGGGGAGTCAGAGGTGTCTGGATGTAATGCTAGCCACATCACGCCCATATTAGTCCACTGTGTCACTAGGCAATAGGCATGGGTGGACCCTTGACTTGATTCAAGACAGTCTGTAAAATTACTAGCAACATAGAAATAGTTCAGGAAAACAGCACTGAAAGTAGATAACTTTTAAGAAAAATGGTGAGGAATTATTTAGGAGGAGTAGAGTGGTATAAATTGGTATAAGGCCATGAAATTAAGAAAAAGAGTATTAACCTGAATATCAAGTGAAAATCTCCCTTCCATATAAATTTAATAGAATATAAATTAAAAAGTGGAAGAAGCTATGTTGCTTTGGGCATTTAATGCTAAATCCAATAAAGCAATAGAAAATGTACCGTGGGAAACAATACTTTGGCAAACAGATTAGATCTTTTCTATATCTTATATATCTTTATCTTTTTTCTATCGTCCTACAATTTAAGCTATACTGTATTGTTTACATCAATTCAGTTAGTACCATCAACTTTCACCTAGTTCCATGTCAAAACCTTCCATTTCAATACATTTCCCTCGCCACCTGTAGACCAGCCCATATCTTAAACTGGGCTAATCAGCATTTAAAACCACTGATGAAGTTTTGACAAGCTGCTTGGTATTTGGAGTTAGGGGCAGATGGGTTACTTTTGATTGCAATCACTTCAGCCAAGGCAAATAAATGATACTACTATTTTTTAATTTAGAAAAAAAAATACTTACCAATGGTATTTTGATTAAATAGTTGTTCAAGAGGCTTGATTGCAGCATGCTTGCTTGACCCATTAACATGTATTATAATGAGTGTGCCAATCTGTTTCGGGTCAATATAAGTCTTTGAAAATCTGCAACCTACATTTCTCTGCCATTTGTCTTTCAAATAGTCTGGACACTGCTCGGTGTAGTTATTATACCTAAGGGAAAAGGTTCATCAGGTATTGGCCTCTTGGACAATACCTACTGGCCAAAATAGAGGCAGGCATTTACCTGTAAAATAGAAAGTATACTGTATCTGTTGGTGCCTGTTCACCAGCAAGCCAGTTGCAGTGGAGAGATGCTGTATAATAACTGGCAGTGTAAACAATGCAGAATAAGTTAGTGACTGATGTCTCAGCATCACCTAGAGGAAGAACAAGACATAAAAGATTACACTCAAAAGATAAGTTGTGCTGAATATTTACTAACTTTTTTTTACTCACATGGGAGTTTTTTATTATAAAATGTATACACGCACACACATATTTGCATTTGTATACATTTTTATAATAATGAATTCCTAAATCTGTAGCTGTTTCGTATCTTCATTTCATCTGTAATCACTTGACATACAGGTAGATGAGAGAGGATATATACACACAAGAGGCAAGTATTTTGTAGGGTGATATCCTTTATTGGATCAACTCTGTAGCTGGGATAAAGTCAAACAAGCTTTCAGATGCAAGACATTCTTCCTCAGCTTGTCTAAGTTTTTCCTAACTACATAGTTGGTCCAATAAAAGATAACACCCTATGAAATACTTGCCTCTCACATAATTTCTGGACCATTACTTTTCTGGACATAACTACAACATCACTTTTACATTACCATAGGAGATATATAGATATAGATATAAATATAGATACACACACATGCACGCACACACAAATGTGTATCCTGTCTCATTTGCCTCTATATCAAACGATTACAGACGAAGTCAGATTCCCAAACAAATTAACAGTTCTACAACACATATGGACAAATAACACAACATCCCCCGTGTATTCTGAAAACATCATACGTTTATAGACAAAATATTTTAAACATTTTAGAGAGTTCTAAAGCAGCTTATTTTGCCATTAGCAATACATTTTTAGGCATTAATCCAGGGAAAAGCATTTACATTTGTTCACAGTTTGATCTATGTAGAAACTCCAGTTGATTTTCTTGGCCTTGGAATACTATAAGCCTTTTTTTACTAAGACTGCTTGCATGTTATCTGCTATTTACATAATAAATCAACACATCTCAGTCTAGAATCCAGAGCCTAGAGAGACATTTCCAAAACCAAACTCATCTTAAACTTGCTTTCATTTCATGTAAAATTGGATAAATCTGTTTCCATGACAAAATTCAGGCTAGAAGAAACACAGTGCTGCTTCTTACTCTTGATGGCATCTTGAGAGGAGTAGTGAACTGAGTTATTAAATAAAAGGGGATTAGAAGTAGTCAACTGCTGTCTTTCAGGAACTGTATTGCAAGGATTATCCATTTCAAATAGCCCCAGAATATATCCCCGGCTCCTAGGCAAAGGAGAGTGAACCTGGCTAACATGGAAAATGACAAGAGTAGCTATGAAAGTGAACACAGATATTCCATAGTAATGGGGCTAGAAGGCATAAGAAGGATAACTACAGCTCTCTCTGGTCTGATGTGGGAGCTTGCTACTTGCTGATGCAGAGGAAATCTGGACTCAGGATGCACTTGGCATGGCAGGAAGTATAATTGCAGGTATCACACATCAGATCCCATCGTGCCGTTACTTGCAAGTTTGCCAAGGGCCATAGAGTCAACCCCAGATGGTGAAGTGCTATTCGATGTCAATATGAACATCAGAATCTCTACCAAAACTACTGGATAACCATACCGCTTTGCGTGGCAGGAAATATGTTACCTTTTTAAAGTTTCTAAACTGCTGTCCTTTTCATGCTTTCCTCACCTACAAACTAGAAAAATAACACAAAATTAAAACTTTGTGGCATCACTTCTTACCTGCAAGGGCTGGGAGTTCTTCTGTGACCCACTCACTTCCTATTTGTGAGCTGTTATACAAAAGCAGTGTCCGCACTTGTGCAGAAAAACCATCATGGAGCACCACTGTACGAGTACTATGGGTGTGCTTTGTATCGTACTTGAAAAATAAAACAATTTATGAGTATCAGACACAATGAAGCCTGACTTAGGACACAGACACATGTATACTGGTATAACTTGGATCAGTTTGTATATCAAGGTGAATTATTATTTGCACTCAGAGTGGAGAGAAGACCAGGTCTCTAGAGTGAACTGCCCACAGATTCTGTTATAGTGCCTCGCCAGTCACCACTGTTTGCACTGGGCAGCCTAGGACTGTGGACACATGACCCATACACCAGATGAATTTACATCATATAGTTATGCCTGACTTTGTGAGGGACACATTTTCCTCAGTGCAGAGTGCCCCCACCGTCTTAGTTCAAGTGCCCCCACTGCCATTTTGAAGCACTGGGATGCTAATACATGAGACATGGAGGCTGGCTGGAGCACAGAAATGACCAGGGGTCTAGGTTTTCTGCTTGCCACAGAAAAACATGATCACACCCAGATTTTCTAATTTTAAGGAGAAAAACCCAGATTTTCTCCTTTGAAGGAAATGGTGGATTTCTGCTTGCAGGCTGGCACAGTTCCAGCCTGCAAGTGGCTGGGGGGAGCAGGAGTGTAGTCAGACAGGGGGCACCATGTGCATGTGTGCACCTACATGCACATCACTGCTAGGCAGCCTGGAGAGCAGTTTCCTGCAGGTAAGTCAGGCAAGGAGGGAGGCTCCCATAGTGAGGAAGTTGGGCAGGGTTGGGCCTGGGGATGCTTCCCAGCCTGGGCAGTGCATGGCATTCGTGACGTGTAGGGGGTGCACACGGATACATGTGCCCCCCCTGAGATAGGCCGTGCTCCCCATGAGAGAAGCACCAGCAGTATTTCTGGGTTTGCTGCTGGGCAACCCAGCCACAAGCTGCTGCAACAGGGGGGGAGGGGCATGCTGGGCTCACAGCTGACCCAGCACAGCAGGCAGGTAGGTAAGGTTTCTTCTTGTGGGGATCAAGACCCCCACAGTGCAGGAGGGAGCAAGATAGGGGCAGGGGTGAATCATTCCACTCCTGTCCCACTCCCTGCTGCACTCTAGGGATTGTCCAATGACCCAGCCCAGCTGGGGCCCCATTCACCGAGAAACCCAGGATCCCTGGTAATTACCAGGGCTGTGCGAGGCTTCAGACCCTGCTTCAGATCCGGAGAAGCTTCGGACACTTTGGCGTAAGAAGCAGCATGTCCGCATCGAAGCACTGGCTTCGTTAGGCTTTCTGAAGTGGTTCGGAGCTTCCGAAGCACTTCAGAAAAGTTTCGGAGCCACTTTGGAGATCCGGCCACAGGGTATAATGGGGAATCAATGAAATATCTATAACGCTGTTGTTCTTTCTCTGATTTGGATGAAATTTGCAGGGGTGGTAGCCTCTGCTGAGAGCATGAAGTCTGCCAAGTTTCAAGAAGATTAGTGCAGGGGTTTGGGGGGAACTGTACCCCAAATTCCTGAAAGCAAAACTCATGTCACATGTATGTGTTACACCATGGGGGAGGGAGGGGGAGGGATGAAAACTACAGGGGTTGTGGCCCCTGCTGAGGCCACAAAGCCTGCCAAGCTTAAAGAAGATCAGTGCAGGGGTTTGTGGGGAACTGCACCTCAAGCTGCTGACAGGCAAAACTCATGACATAGATGACCCTGTGTGTGTTAAGGTACAGCAGGCGGAAAACTGCAGGGGTAGTGGCACCTGCTCAGGCCACAAAGCCTGCCAGCTGTCAAGGAGATAAGTATGGGGGTTTGGGGGAACTGCACCTCAAGCTGCAGACAAGTCAAACTCGTGACATAGGTGACACTGTGTGTGTTAAGGCGCTGCAGGGATGGTGGCCCCTGCTGCAGCCACAATGCCTGCCAGCTGTTGAGGAGATAGGTGCAGGGGGGTTCTGGGGCCCTGGACCCCTAGCTGCTGACAGACAAAACTAGTGCCATGGGTGCTTGTGCAACTGTGTCTGTCTTGGGGGATGAAGGGAACAACTACAGGCCTGGCTGCTAAACTACTGTGTTACCAGTTACCAATCAATCATGATTCACTCAGGAACCAGCTCAATACACAGTAGCTAGCTAATGTAGCCAGTTAATTAGCAACAAATAACACATACAAAAACACAGACTAAAGAGAGGAAAGAATCAATACAGACAATCAACTGCCCCAAGACAGAGACAGTCAGCTGCACAAGCACCCATGTCACAAGTTTTCCCGGTCAGCAGCTAGAGGTGCAGGGCCCCAGAACACCCCTGCACCGATCTCCTCAACAGCTGGCACACATCGTGGCCACAGCAGGGGCCCCCATCCCTGCAGCTTTCACCCTGCTGTGCCTTAATGCACACAGTGTCACCCGTGTCATGAGTTTTGCTTGTCCGCAGCTTGAGGTGCAGTTTCCCCCAAACCCTTGCACTTATCTCCTTGAAACTTGGCAGGCTTTGTGGCCTCAGCAGGGGCCACCACCCCTACAGTATTCACTCTCCTGTGGTGTAACACATACACGACATGAGTTTTGCTATCAGGAATTTGGGGTACAATTCCCCCCAAACCCCTGCACCGATCTTCTTGAAGCTTGGCAGACTTCATGCTCTCAGCAGAGGCTACCACTCCTGCAAGTTTCATCCAAATCAGACAAAAAAAACAACAAAGTTATAGATATTCCATTAATTTCCCATTGTTCCCTATGGCCGGATCTCCGAGGCGGCTCCAAAGCTTCGGAGCCGCTTTGGCCGGATCAAAGCAGAAACCCAATCAGGAGCTCCGGATCGGACCCCTGGCATCCGAAGTGGCCGGATCCAAAGCCAGATCAAATAGCTGCCAACTCACACAGGCCTAGTAATTACCACGTTCCAGCAGACTTGATTAATTACAGCACATCAGAGCAGCCTTGTAGTGCATGTGCAGGCACCCTAAAACTGCTCTCCTACTAGAGGGTCTATAAAATTAGGAACATTGTACCTAAAACCATATGCAAATACTCCAGAACTTTCTACAGGGGATGGTTCAGGTAACGTTTTCTGAGAATACTATTATGACAAAACAGAGAACCACCTACTTACTACTTGTACATTGGTGTTAATCTGCAGTAAATTCATTGACTTGAATGGTAGGAAACATTCGTGGGAAGCCATGTTGATTCAACACCTCTTCCCATGATGTTCCAGCTAGGTCACAAATTAAAGCCACACTTCCCTGGTGTTAATTCCCTTTCCAACTAAGTTCTACTGGTCAGCACAGGGGAAGATGGGCATGGCTAATGTATAGCATATCTGTTCATGATGCAACACCAAACTAATGTTGATGACCCAATGTATGCAGTACAGTCTCGAGCAGGCAGAACATATTTAAATCAACTGGCATTTGGCCTCCGTAGACTGCTCAATGTATTTTACACTTACCACTTCCTGTACAGGAGTAATGATTTCCACATCGTAGGTAACAGTGGAGTTCTGGTGTTGATCAGGGTTTGGTTTCCAATGTAAAAGTACTTCTGCTAGTGCAGTGACTGTGAGGGTGAAGTTAACAGGGGGGAGAACCTGAACTGTTGATTAAAGGAGAAAAAAAAGAAACTGATGGTATACTACATTATAACAAGTAAGAGGCAATAGTGATTGGTTCCACGCAATAGCTACTCATAGGCAACTACCAACACAGGATAAAGTGTATAGGCATAATTTACATATTATACTATATTTTGTCAATAGCTTTGTATAGAGCATATTTCTAACACTGAGGTAAAACTCTGCAAGTTGCCAGCAAACAGATCATTCAATAAGGATATGGCTAAAACCTAGGTTAGAAGAAACTGTTTTCCATGGCAATTTTAACTTAAAGATCACCAAATGAAAAAATCTCCGATCATATCTGGTTTGCTGGAAAATAAATTAGGCTAAGATCCTTGAAAAATGATCAGCATACGTGAATCCCATTGCCCTCACACAGTCCCACTGAGGTCAATTGGGCAACTACACTGGCATAAGTCCATATCCACTTAGATCCTGGTGTACAGTCAGGGTCTTACAGAGAAGATGGTATGTAGTTTGATCTCTGAGAAGAATGCATGTTAGCTACCCTGGCACACAAGGATAGTTGCAAGTTAACAACTACCTGGAAGCCACAAGGATGCATCTGTGGAAGAAACACAAGTATGCCGAGACAAGAAATAAAGCAGAAATATAAGCAGAGGTGGAAGAATGAGACTGGTAACTTAGAATGACAGGGATAGAGACCTCTGGAGCTCATAAAGAAATGAATAATTGATTGTGCTGAGAGATAAGAATATAAATAGCTGAATAACAAATAGTCAAGCAGCTTCCCTTTACTTATCAAGCCCTTCACAGCTTTTTCTCACCCTCATTTCTCTTTGAGCAGCAGCAAGAGGTCATTTCCCATCTCCAATGGTTCCAGGATACCAGCCTGTATAGCCCACATTGTATTTTCAAGCAGCATCTCCTATGCCACCCTTTGGAGGAGCTCCCCCATATATATCCACAAAACCCCCTATTATCCTCCTCCAAATCCCTTACAAACCACATGACAAATTCGAGATGGCTGTGTCTTATGACTACAGCCTGTCATTTTGGCTCGCACAGGCTCATGGTTTTCTTCTGCTCCACCGCATCTGTCCATACTTCTCACCTTTAAGGTCTAATTGTAAGCTCTGCACTGTGCAGTGAGAGCCATGGTATTACAAATACATAAGAAGAATAGTACAGGAAACTACTTACTTCCTTTAGCCTGCAACAAATTTGGCTGAATTGCCATTGCTGTCCAAAGGGGTACCAGAATAATGTTCACCATTATGATAATATCCTTTAAATAATAAATTACAATCATCAGATATCAGCACGTAACTTGCCATTTTGACTGTTTAATATAAAATGTAATCTATAACTAAGAAGTAATATTCACCCAGACACATATAGAAATGTTGTTGTATAATACATAAGCAAGAACATGCCACTTTCCTTGTCCTCTTCCCATGGAGGTACACCCTTTGCCATTATCCAAATATATCATGTGCCAAACAGATCCCATGCCATATGCTTCATAGTGTTCTGTCCCTTCTTCATATACCATAAAACTTCCCATGGCTAATACTTTGTGGGTGTTTGATGAAGCAGATAGAATTGCTGGAAGGGGAGATTTTGATAAAGGAGGGGAGGGAATCCTGGACTCCCCATTGGATATAACAGGGAGGATGGGGGGGCATGATTTGTTGTCTACAGCTTTCCAAATATTAGAATGGCAATGCTAAAGGTTTTGTTGATGCTATGCTGTATGTATGTTGGACAACATCTTAAGACGTAAGTTTTTTCTTCCTCTAATTCCCCATTGCATCACTTTCCTACAACTATAGTAATTGCTCACACAGGGAGAATATCATGAAAGTATTTGCTGTATTTTAGCTTCTTTAACATGACTTTGCTGGGAGCAGGGGTGGCACGGGTGCAGATGCTTAGGTGCACCGCTAGCAGGCCAGAAATCATAAGTTTAAGGCCACAGCAGAAGTGCTCCTGTCGGATTGCAGCGAATATGCAAGTTCTGCTAAATGCTCTGTCACAAGGACGTGAGCAGGAAGGGATATGACTTTGCTGCTAGAAATGGGTAGAGCACACCTTGAACCCATCCATTCTCCATGAACCACCTTCAACTGCTCTACAAAACACTGGAGATTCTTGAACTACAGGAAATCTGAGCTCATGAAAATATGAAGTCATCTACAAGTTACAGGGTGTGGATGTGTGCCTAGTTTTCTATTGACCAGGAAAGTGAATAAGACTGGTTTGTCCCAGGGAATTTCTAACTCCTCAGTCCTAGGGGCGTCAGGTTTTTGCATCCATCTCCTCTCATGAAACTGGAATCAGGTTTGGCCAGGCCACCGCCGTTCCATGGAGGGTTTATCCATAATGCCTCCAAGATCACTAGGTGTCCCTGGCATAATGCCTGCTGAAGAGCAGATTCCACAGCTTGCTGTTTCCTTTGAACATCACACAGACCCCCTCTGTCACAAGAGGAGGGTGCTGTATTGCATTAAAGCATCTCCTATTACTTGATAGACATCAATTCATAATGGCTTTACAATGGAAATCCTCCTGGGACTAACGGATATCAATTCCAGGCAGCAGCCAACCTCCAAATTATGCTGACCTCTGCCCATGCTTTATTCACAGTAGTTATATTTTGCACAATATCCCTGTTACTGCTAAAACTAGAGCTGACTGAGTTTTTTCAAAAGAACTATTGCTAAGAAAATGGCCTGCTTTCAAAAATGTTTATATAAAATTGTTTGCTTGTTTTTTTAAAAAGCAGTTTTCCTCAAAAAAAAACACCCTAGTCTTTTAGCGTAGTGGTTCTCAATCTTTTTTTGTACCAGGACCCATTTGTAAACATTGATGGCCAGTCCCGACCCAGTGCCTCTCGCTCCCAACCTGCTGACCCTGGGCCCCAGCCCCTCAGTGTGTGCAAGCAGCCCCTTGCAGACTGGAGCTCTCCCGGCCTGCAAGGGAAAAGCCACAGTTTCCCACATTTTTTTCCTTTAAAGGAGAATCCATTTTTAAAGTTTGCTGATCCATTTTCAAAGTTTCTCCACAACCCTTTCATATATTCTTGCAACCCACTTTTGGGTCACAACCCACGGGTTGGCCAATGCTGTTTTAGGGCACCTATACACATGCCCAACACCTGATTTTTCAGGAGTGAAAGACCCAACGTGTGCTGAAATAAGTGCAACATTTGACATCGCTTTAACACCCTTTTTATAACGTGCATACAGATTCTAGTTGCTGTTTAATAAAATGAATAAAGAGAAAACCTCTATAGAAAAGGTACAGAGGATGCTGCTGCTAAATGCAGTAAAATTACTGAAATATATAACTAAAAAAGCATTAAGAACACATACAATTCATAACAGGTACAGGCCTGAGCATCTCAGGGGTAAGAAAATGCCACCGTAATTAAAGGCCATCTTCAGATACTGTTTGGGCAGATGTAATCAGAAGATTAAACCAAGTTCAGTGCCATTATTGTGCTATTTTAACTATAGGAGGTGTTTTAGAATTGATATTGTGTAGTATAAAACAAGTACAGTAGAAGAGATAAATATATGGCATTTTAAAGATACCAAAAAGCCAAAGTTTCAAGAAAATATCCTCTAAAAGGTCTGGTTTTTCTTACTTATTATCACAGCTGCAGTATGTTCCACTGTCTAGTAGCTGACTGAACAGAAACTGATTCCAGAGTCTCATTTCCCAGTGCAATGGAGACAAAGTGATCTGCAGAAGTGATGTCCTTGCAGTCCTCCAGAAAATGTTCTTCAAGGTTCCCTGCTGGATCCCAAAAGTTTCTCTGAGAGTCTTATTTCTGTTCGTTAAATCTGCCCTTCAGGCAGTTCCCTCTTTCTTTTATAACTGCCCAGTGCATAAGTGATATGCACTTTGCAAATGATGGCATGATAAGTTAGATAACGTGCAGAAAACACAAAAAGGGAACTGTTTATCTAACCCCAAAACATCTCCTTGCTTACGCTATCAAATAGCTGTACTTCTTCAGTGGCCTAATTATGTACCATGATACAGGGGTCTATTAAAAATCAGCATGCAGAGACGTAACACCATTGTAATTTGGTCCTTTATACAAACTGCCTCCTGAAATGCCCGAAAGGTAACACGTGCTGTTAGGAACCAAGTTACAATTAATAGAGCAACAAAGAAATTAAAAAGAAAACAACAATCACTTTCTATCACTACACAAACTCACTTAAAGACATCTACTATTAACAATAGAAAGTTTCCGTACGACAGTAAAAGAAAAGGTAGCTGTAGATGAAAGTGGAGATTTTAAACAAGGATCCTTGTCACACACATGCTTAGCTGCAACAGGTAAGAACAAGTTGAAGCTTAGTACTGCCTGACAAAGGGCACATTTACATGTGCAAATGCTGCTAGGTGGGTTTACTCCAGAGCAAGGTACTCTGGAGTAAACCCAGCCTGGGCAGCTGTCTACACATGCACCCATTTAGCAGCAGATTTGCCCCACCAGTGGAACTGGATGTGGGGGCTGGGAGCTGGCCCTCTGCTGCAACTCTTTCCAAGCCCTGCACCTTGATCACCTGGTCAGGGCACATGGCTGGGAAAAAGCTGCAGGGCTGAGGAGCTGGCTGCACATGCAGAGTTCCTGATGCAACCTGGGGGTGGCCAGGAACAGTCCTGGTTTGGGGCTGGACCCAGTCAGCTCCAGGCTGGGTGGGGAACTCTCCCCATGCAGGGAGCTCCATGATCACGATTGCAGAGTGGGGACTGAGCGATTCCCTACTGCTGGGATTGTCCTTGCCCAGGCTTCAGTGGCAGTGCCCGCCCTGGCAGCAGGCAGCTCCCAAGGGCAGGGACCAGTCTCCCATCCCATGCTGCCTGGCTGTCCAACAGCTGTCAAGTTTAACAGCAGAGGTGACTCTATTTCAGTACCTGTCTGAAGTTATCTACATACTTGATCTAGTTGTGAGCCCCTTAACTTCTGTATAATTCCCGTATCTCGAAGGATTTGTAGGGTAAAACATTTCGTCTCTAAGGATTTGTTTGTAAAACATTTCAAAATGGAAAACTGAAATTTAATAATATAGAGTGCTACTAATGCAAGCTTGCCCAAAGATTAGTATGAACTTGAGTTTAATTATGAGACTTTTTCTGAATACACATATAAATACATTATCTTATCATTGAGATCTGCATTTTTCATTAAGAAGCTTTAGAAGATTATTCCTTCTATTGTATGGCATTTGTTTTAAGCACACACTTAAATTTTTTATTAGTACATCATGCGTTTTCGTCAATGCTCACGCGCTCATTTTCTTTACTATACATGTACATACTTCCTCAGTGGTGCCTAAGAGCACTATGAAGTCTGCAATTCAAGGGATATTTTTTCCATCATGCTGACCTAACAAGGGAAGTAAGATGCTGCATAGGTTAGAAATCAGAATATTTGCACTCTAGTGGTTCTGTGAATAGGAAACAATAGGGTCAGGGAAGGTACTAAGCAAATTGGTGGTGTAATTTTGTTTGCAATTTCCTTAAAATACGACAGTGGAACATGGACCACTACCAGGACCTTCCTAGCTAATTATGGGTTATGGATGAAATGTGTTGGTAGACCTGTATCGGGCGTTCTGTACCGTTTCTCAAGTTGAAACCTTAATAAAAGGTTTAAGTAGTGCAAAAGGTCCTCTGTATGGCACTATACACAACTGTCATATTTCCAGTACTGAAACAGATAAGTAAGTCTGCCAAGACCCATGCCCTACCACCATGATTTCAGAAGAAAGCAGAATGTCCTTTATTACACCTGGCAATTGTGCAATGCTCTTCATGACAGAGGGAGCCTTCTGACCCTAGGGCTATCGATGGCTTTTGACCCTGGAGTATTGGCTTCAACAGCCTTTTTGTCTTTGTAACTATAAACGCTTTTTTCTGCTCGCAAAACTATTGGGGCCCTTATCAAACCTGGCTAGAGTATATAATGCCCTGACCTCCTGCACTGGAAAGTTCAACTCACGGATTCAACACCTTGCGAAGAAATATTTTGTTTTGTTTTAGATGCATCTACCGTTAATTTTGAGCAACCCCCTTAGCTCTTGAGAGCAAAAGAAAGCAGTACACCGGAAAACTGCTGGGCTAATGCGAGACAGCAGCCGCAACAACAGGAATCGCACCTGTGAATTCAGCACTCGGAATTAAAAAGGCCCTACAAGGAGCCACGAGAAAATTGTTGTTTGTTGTTATTGTCGTGGTGGTTTTTGTTATTATACCATC